TGATACTGACGTTGATTCATGTACTACATTAGAAGAGGAGGAGGAGGTAGTAGGATCTGATTAATATTAAATAAATAAACAATTGAAATGATTTATCTATTACTTGTTAATGAAGGAGTAGTTCTCAGTGATCGGTGAATGAATAATGTCTTAGGATCAGCCACTCCATCCAGTGGTATAGAATAGTGCAATGATGGTACAGCACCAGGTGACCCATATACTGATATCAGGCAACATGAAGGAAGAGGATAATTAGCTTCACCAAACTTATCAACATCACAACGTAGAAACTATTAATATACACATACCAACCATCAGTTATACATTATATTGCAGTACTTACTCTACAAGGCTGAATGTGAGGCTCAATAGTCCATCCAGTGTAAAGCTTCTTTTGTGGAGCATCAAACTTTAATTCAATACATCCATCATAATCTTTGAAACGAAATAGAATATTCTGTCCAACTTCAGCTTGAGAGTGTCTTTTATCAATAAACTGTACATACGTACATGTACATGCACAAAATAATTATAGTATAATGCTTACCTCAAGCAATGCATTAAGATCTTTAGCAGCAGTAAATGCCACTAAATCTTCAGCTTCTTTCTTCTCATAATAAACCAGTCCAGCATAAGCCATATTCTTTACTATACCAGTGGAAACTACTACTTTACCTATACACAAATATACATTAATTAATATTCACTGCATGCTGATGTACTTACTATTAACATCTGAACTAATCTCAGTACAAGGTATTGGAGCAGTTGCTTCTTCATGCTGTGGTTCTTCATGATCCTCTGACTCTTCTACTCTTTCATTATCTTGTTCTTCATTTCCTTCCTCATGTAATGGCTCACCTCCAGTCTCCCCCTCTTCCTCTACTCCCTCATTACTAGTAGACTCTCCTATATAGTGGAATAGATTCAGTTCATCATATATACTAGTACACACTCACTCACTCATTACTCACCTTGTCCTCCACTCCTACCTCCTGGTGGATCTTGAGTCTTATCAGAATCACTGGATGAATCACTATTACCATCTTCCACTTCCTCCTCAGTTTCCTTTTCTACTTGTTCCTCTTGCTCCTCCTCCTCCTCTTCCTCGTCTCCATTAGTTGATGATTTGGGTAGACGCTTCTCTCCAACAATAGATACCAAACAGAATTCTTTACGTTGAATGGATCCATACCAACTATCAGAACTAAACTCTCCTCCCTCAACTATGGAGAAGTGGTAAGGAAGACTGGGTGTGCTCACGTGAGCTATGGCAAACTTGAGATGACGACTAAGACCTGGTCGTCCTGTTAAATCAACACAGTGCTGTATTTCTAATATGAGCCGTTTGAGGAGAGGCTTTGAGAGTGATACTGCATACACAGCACTCACTAGGATAGTATTAGCAGGAAACTGGAACTCTCCTCCTACAAGAGCAACCACTGCTGCTTCTACTGTCTCAGAGGACAGTAAGCTCTCCTTTTGTACTCCGATCCTTAGACCATATTTCTCCCAATTCATCAGTTGAGGTTTGTCTCCTTGAATTAAGAACAGCTTCCTCTCTGCTACCTGGACATCACTCAGACAATCCAATTTATCTGTCAATTATACAAAATATATACAGTGAGTACACACACGATTGTATAAAATAGATACACTCAGTCAGTCACACAATAATACTCTTACCCATTGAAGGGATCAGGTAGTTAAATTGTAGTCCAATGGAACTAGTCTCTTTGATGGATTGTTCCTCTAAGGATGTGACTCTTTCCTGTAGTTGTGACTTCTCCTTCATTAGTTTGGTTGTATACAATTCATTATCAGACACTTTAGCTCTAAGGTCTATACATTAATAGAATATTAATAATTATTATTGATTGATGTTGATACACTAACCAGTAACGATCTGTTTCTCTTTGAGATATTGTTCCTTCATATCAGCTACTTTGAGTTTCAGTTTCTCATAATCTTCTACAGTACAATAGAATATTCTCTCATCTAATTTTATGTACTGATGATACACTAACCAGTAATAATCTGTTGTTTCTCTTCTACTTGTGTCTTCTCTTCCAATATTTCAGTTATATATACTTCATTATCAGCAACTTTAGCTTTAAGCTTCTCATAATCTTCTATATCACCAATAAAAATACAAAGACAGAAAATAAAATGATAATTATAGCTAATGTAAATTTGCACTACATGTACAGTAGCCCATAAATACATGTACTATGATTATTGCTAATGATACTATATATGGTAAGCAGAGCTCACTCTACATGAATCTCATTTCTACTGCATGGACAATTTGATCTATATTGAGTACAGGATACTATTTCCATGCTCAACATATTCTAATCCACTAGTATCATAATGTAAACCAGTACTAATACACACACTCACACTACCAATAACCACACAATACTACATAATAGTAATCAGTTAGTACAGTTAAAGTGTGTGTGTGTGTGTGTAGTATCCTATGTACCTTGTTTATTGGCCTCAACCAGTGCCTCCTGTAGTGATACTTTGCTCTCATGAGCCACTTGTAGGTCTTCATGTAAAGATTGTATATATCTCTGAAGCTTCATTTCCCTCTCTGTCGGATATTCTATTAGCTGATCCATCCACCATGTTCTGGTCTTGCTGTACGATTGATACTTTTCTTGATACATGTAGTTCTTACTAGTGAGATCATTACCATCCAGTACTGACTGTACTATCCACTTACCAACTTCACTATATACTGAGACACAATAAGATACATTATATATTTATAAATAAATGTATTTAATTTATAAACTAATGGTATCATTTATAGTGGTTGTAAATACACACCCACACATACAGTGGTATTGTAGTGTGTACAGTATACAAAATGAATGGAAAATGTGCGTCATATTAGGAACTGAAATTTACAAATAATGTACATACTATAAAAATGAGTGGCACAATATTTAATGTAATTATGTATTTAATGCTCATATCCTTACAATTGATTAATAGTATCTTACCTAATTCAATTATCATTATTAGTCTATTAGTATCAGTGATTGGTGTACTCATCGGCACCTTCTTTCCTCCTCCAACATCTTTCATTTTAAACTCTCCACATCCTCCAACAATTACTAGCCACACACAGTGTGGTGACATTGTGACTGCTGTGAGTGAGTGATCGTATCTACCCGTAACAGATTCAGGTAGAGGAATCTGTAGATAAAGAGAAGTATACAAGTAATTACTGATACATGATGTTTATACAGTTACTTATAAAATGAGAAATTGTAACAATTCATATGTAGATGATCGTTACATTTTTTGTAATTGTAAAATCAATTCTAATCCTCACCATCAACAAACAAAATAAACATTTCATTTCTCATCATGTCAAG